CCCTCAGGACTGCTTTGGCTATTCGGAGTCTTTTGTGTCTCCATACAAATTTTAAGATTTTTTGTTCTAGTTCTGTAAAACATGCAACTGGTAATTTTATACAGATTACCTTGAATCTGTAGATTGCTTTGGGTACTATAGTCATTTTCACAATACTGATTCTTCCAATCCAAGAACATAGTATATCTCTCCATCTGTTGGTATCATTTTTAATTTCTTTCATCAGTGTCTTATAGTTTTCTGCATACAGGTCTTTTGTCTCTTTAGGTAGGTTTATTCCTAGGTATTTTACTCTTTCTGTTACAATGGTAAATGGGAGTGTTTCCTTAATTTCTGTTTCAGATTTTTCATCATTAGTGTATAGGAATGCAAGAGATTTCTGTGCATTAATTTTGTATCCTGCTACTTTACCAAATTCATTGATTAGTTCTAGTAGTTTTCTGGTGGCATCTTTAGGATTCTTTATGTATAGTATCATGTCATCTGCAAACAGTGACAGCTTTACTTCTTCTTTTCTGACTTGGATTCCTTTTATTCCTTTTTCTTCTCTGATTGCTGTGGCTAAAACTTCCAAAACTATGTTGAATAATAGTGGTGAGAGTGAGCAACCTTGTCTTGTTCCTGATCTTAGTGGAAATGGTTTCAGTTTTTCACCATTGAGAACGATGTTGGCTGTGGGTTTGACATATATGGCCTTTATTATGTTGAGGTAAGTTCCCTCTATGCCCACTTTCTGGAGAATTTTTATCATAAGTTGATGTTGAATTTTGTCAAAAGTGTTTTCTGCATCTCTTGAGATGATCATATGGTTTTTATCCTTCAATTTGTTAATATGGTGTATCACATTGATTGATTTGCGTATATTGAAGAATCCTTGCATCCCTGGGCTAAATCCCACTTGATCATGGTGTATGATCCTTTTAATGTGCTGTTGAATTCTGTCTGCTAGTATTTTGTTGAGGATTTTTGCATCTATGTTCATCAGTGATATTGGCCTGTAGTTTTCTTTCTTTGTGACATCTTTGTCTGGTTTTGGTATCAGGGTGATTGTGGCCTCGTAGAATGAGTTTGGGAGTGTTCCTCCCTCTGCTATATTTTGGAAGAGTTTGAGAAGGATAGGTGTTAACTCTTCTCTAAATGTTTGATAGAATTCTCCTGTGAAGCCATCTGGTCCTGAGCTTTTGTTTGTTGGAAGATTTTTAATCACAGTCTCAATTTCAGTGCTTGTGATTGCTCTGTTTATATTTTCTATTTCTTCCTGGTTCAGTCTCGGAAGGTTGTGCTTTTCTAAGAATTTGTCCATTTCTTCCAGCTTGTTCATTTTATTGGCATATAGTTGCTTGTAGTAATCTCTCATGATCCTTTGTATTTCTGCAGTGTCAGTTGTTACTTCTCCTTTTTCATTTCTAATTCTATTGATTTGTCTTCTCCCTATTCATCTTGATGAGTCAGGCTAATGGTTTATCAATTTTGTTTATCTTCTCAAAGAACCAGCTTTTAGTTTTATTAATCTTTGCTATTGTTTCCTTCACTTCTTTTTCATTTATTTCTGATCTGATCTTTATGATTTCTTTCTTTCTGCTAACTTTGGGGGTTTTTTGTTCTTTCTCTAATTGCTTTAGGTGTAAGGTTAGGTTGTTTATTTGAGATGTTTCTTATTTCTTGAGGTAGGATTGTATTGCTATAAACTTCCCTCTTAGAACTACTTTTGCTGCGTCCCATAGGTTTTGGATCGTCTTGTTTTCATTGTCATTTGTTTCTAAGTATTTTTTGATTTCCTCTTTGATTTCTTCTGTGATCTCTTGCTTATTTAGTAGTATATTGTTTAGCCTCCATGTGTTTGTATTTTTTACAGTTTTTTTTCCCTGTAATTGATATCTAGTCTCATAATGTTGTGGTTGGAAAAGATACTTGATATGATTTCAGTTTTCTTAAATTTACCAAGGCTTGATTTGTGACCCAAGATATGATCTATCCTGGAGAATGTTCCATGAGCACTTGAGAAGAAAGTGTATTCTGTTGTTTTTGGATGGAATGTCCTATAAATATCAATTAAGTCCATCTTGTTTAATGTATCGTTTAAAGCTTGTGTTTCCTTATTTATTTTCATTTTATATGATCTGTCCATTGGTGAAAGTGGGGTGTTAAAGTCCCCTACTATGATTCTGTTACTGTAGATTTCCCCTTTCATGGCTGTTAGCATTTGCCTTATGTATTGAGGTGCTCCTATGTTGGGTGCATAAATATTTACAATTGAAATATCTTCTTCTTGGATTGATCCCTTGAACATTATGTAGTGTCCTTCTTTGTCTCTTGTAATAGTCTTTATTTTAATATCTATTTTGTCTGATATGAGAATTGCTACTCCAGTTTTCTTTTGATTTCCATTTGCATGGAATATCTTTTTCCATCCCCTCATTTTCAGTCTGTATGTGTCCCTAGGTCTGAAGTGGGTCTCTTGTAGACAGCGTATATATGAGTCTTGTGTTTGTATCCATTCAGCCAGTCTATGTCTTTTGGTTGGAGCATTTAATCCATTTACATTTAAGGTAATTATCAATATGTATGTTCCTATTACCATTTTCTTAATTGTTTTGGGTTTTTTATTGTAGGTCTTTTCCTTCTTTTATGTTTTCTGCCTAGAGAAGTTCCTTTAGCATTTGTTGTAAAGCTGGTTTGGTGGTTCTGAATTCTCTTAGCTTTTGCTTTTCTGTAAATGTTTTAATTTCTCCATCGAATCTGAATGAGATCCTTGCTGGGTAGAGTAATCTTGGTTGTAGGTTTTTCCCTTTCATCACTTTAAATATGTCCTGCCACTCCCTTCTGGCTTGCAGAGTTTCTGCTGGAAGATCAGCTGTTAACCTTATGGGGATTCCCTTGTATGTTATTTGTTGTTTTTCGCTTGCTGCTTTTAGTATTTTTTCTTTTATTTAATTTTTGATAGTTTGATTAATATGTGTCTTGGCATGTTTCTCCTTGGATTTATCCTGTATGGGACTCTATGAGCTTCCTGGAGTTGATTAACTATTTCCTTTCCCATGTTAGGGAAGTTTTCAGCTATAATCTCTTCAAATATTTTCTCAGTCCCTTTCTTTTTCTCTTCTTCTTCTGGGACCCCTATAATTTGAATGTTGGTGTGTTTAATGTTGTCCCAGGGGTCTCTGAGACTGTCCTCAATTCTTTTCATTCTTTTTTCTTTATTCTACTCTGCAGTAGTTATTTCCACTATTTTATCTTCCAGGTCACTTATCCATTCTTCTGCCTCAGTTATTCTGCTATTGATTCCTTCTAGAGAATTTTTAATTTCATTTATTCGTTGTTCATCACTGTTTGTTTGCTCTTTAGTTCTTCTAGGTCCTTGTTAAATGTTTCTTGTATTTTCTCCATTCTATTTCCAAGATTTTGGATCATTTTTACTATCATTGCTCTGAATTCTTTCTCAGGTAGACTGCCTATTTCCTCTTCATTTGTTTGGTCTGGTGGCTTTTTACCTTGCTCCTTCATCTGCTGTGTGTTTGTCTTCTCATTTTGCGTAAGTTACTGTGTTTGGGGTCTCCTTTTTGCAGGCTGCATGTTCGTAGTTCCCATTGTTTTTGGTGTCTGCCCCCAGTGGCTAAGGTTGGTTCAGTGGGTTGTGTAGGCTTCCTGGTGGAGGAGCCTAGTGCCTGTGTTCTGGTGGAGGAGGCTGGATCTTGTCTTTCTGGTGGGCAGGACCACGTCTGGTGGTGTGTTTTGGGGTGTCTGTGACTTTTTTATGATTTTAGGCAGCCTCTCTGCTAATGGGTGGGGTTGCTTTCCTGTCTTGCTAGTTGTTTGGCAGAAGGTGTCCAGCACTGTAGCTTGCTGGTTGTTGAGTGGAGCTGGGTATTAGCGTTGAGATGGAGATCTCTGGGAGAACTTCCGCTGTTTGATATTATGTGGATCCGGGAGGTCTCTGGTGGACCAGTGTCCTGAACGTGGCTCTCCCACCTCAGAGGCACAGGCTTAACACCCAGCTGGAGCACCAGGACCCTGTCAGCCACATGGCTCAGAAGAAAAGGGAGAAAAGAAAGAAAGAGAGAAAGAGAAAAGAGAGAAAGAGAGAGAGAGAGAGGGAGAGGGAGAAAGGGAGGAAGGGAGGAAGGAAGGAAGGAAGGAAAGAAGGAAAGAAGGAAAGAAAAGGAAGGAAGGAAGGAAGAAAGAAAGAAAGAAAGAAAGGAAGGAAGGAAGAAAGGAAAGAAAGAAAGAAAGAAAAAGGCAGGAAGGAAGGAAGGAAATAAAGTTATTAAAATAAAAACTAATTATTAAAAATAAAAAAATTAATAAAAAAAAGAAAGAAAGAAGAGAGCAACCAAACCAAAAACACAAAAAAGAAAACAAAACAAAAATACAGACAGAACCCTAGGACAAATGGTAAAAAAAGCTATACAGACAAAATCTCACAGAGAAGCATACACATACACAATCACAAAAAGAGAAAAAGGAAAAATATATACATATCATTGCTCCCAAAGTCCACCTCCTTCTCTTCCATGATTCCCAATATCAACTAGAGTCAAGTGAGAGTGAGCAAGTTGGAAATGATGCCCAGAGGAGTCCGAGGCCTGGAGTGCAGGCAGGCGTGGGGCACGGGGCGGAGCCCTTGGAAGAAGTAAAGGGACTACTGGGGAAGGGGTTGGAGGACACAGTTAGCTGGAAGCTTGGTAAAGGAATAATGAAAAGAACTCCACTGGAACAAGAAGGAATTAGAAGCAAAGCCCCATTCTGGGCAGGCTCTAGACTGTTGCAGCAGGGAGAACAGCTGAGTAATTGAATGGCACTGTGTTAATTTCATGTTTTTTTCTTGTTTCCTTTTCTGTTCCCAACTCCCTTTCCCATCTTCTGCCTTCTCTGCACCCTGAATCCCATCTTTTCTATTTTCCTTCCCCATCTCCTCTGTTCTCATCCACACTTTGCACCTTCCCCCTTCATCTCCTCCCCCACACCTTCATGTTTTACTCTACCCCCACCCCACCCCCAAGCTCTCTGGCGGCTGTGAGTTGACCGTGGTCCTCCAGGACTTCAACGCAGGCCACAGCAGCGAGCTGAGCATCCAGGTGGGACAGACAGTGGAACTGCTGGAGCGGCCGAGCGAACGGCCGGGCTGGTGTCTGGTCCGCACCACAGAACGGAGTCCCCCACAGGAGGGCCTGGTCCCCAGCAGCGCCCTGTGCATCTCCCACTCCCGAAGCAGCGTGGAGATGGACTGCTTCTTCCCCTTGGTGAAAGGTAGGGGTGGGGGGGGGGGGGTGGGGAGGGATGTGGACCAGAGGTTGCTGGGGACGTGGCCTGCTGGTTAGAAGAGCATCATAGCACTCACTTGTCTCAGGAACCCGTTCTGACCTTGTGGGATTTCTCTGGGACCCACTTGTGAAGAAAGTGGGTTGCGAGCTTAAAGGGAAAGAGCTATGGAATGGCCATGTGACTTTGGAAAAGTCATTTAACCTTTCTGAGTCAGTTTCATCTTAAAAATGAAGGTTGACTTAGATGACCCCTAAGAGCTCTTCTAACTCTCCCATTGTACCACCCAACCTCCAGAAAAGTCCTCTTCTACCCATGGCCCAAAGCCTAGACTCCTCCTTTCTCCTCTGACCCCCGCCCCCTCCACAGCTACTGCAGGCTCCCCGGCCCCCTCACCCCTACCCAGCTGCTCATGCTTCACAAAGGACCGAGCAAACTGCAGGGGAACACATGGCACAACCGCGACAGGTTTGACCTTCCGCTCAGCCCTGCCAGGGCCTGAGACACTCATTTACGTGCCTTTGACAGACAGATTACCGGAGCCTTGGCTTCTGCTTTATGTAAGCTCTGTGTTCCTTCCACATGCTTGTTTATTCGCTTTTTCTAACGTTGGGCAGACTGAACCACGGAAAACAGTGATTCTCCAGTGTGAGGGGTGTCTCTGGACTGGCAGGGTCAGCATCCCCTGGGAACTTTTAGAAATGCAACTTCTCAGAACCCACTCCAGACCTTCTGGGCCAGAAACGCAGGGGGCGGGGGGCGGGGGTGGCTGCGGTCTGTGTCTTAACGAGTCCCCAGGGAATTCTGATGCACTCGAGTACGACAGCCACTGACTTCAGAAGTCCAGGCTGGCAGCGGCCTTGAAGTCACTCGTTTTACATGGAGGAAACGGGCCCAGAGAGGGACAGACCCAGAGTTCTCTTAGTTCTGAGCTTCTTTTTGTCACTGGTCAGATAACCTGCATCAGGGTTTCCATGCAGACCTGTGCTAGGTATTTATGGGCTGGGAAGAGGGAGGGACCTGGTTCTGTTGGGAGGAAGGGACAAGGGTCGCCACGGAGACCTGTTGATGCTACGGACTAATTACCTTGTGAAATGTTTTCCTTGCTGGAATTCCATCGGGTCCATCTCAAAAACCTGACCTCCTCCTCTCCTCCACGAGGTGGCTCTAGCAGGTTGCATCACTGGTGCTGCCTGGCTCTGGTGCTGCAAGGGCCTCGCGGGGGGCGGGGCGGGGGTTCCATCCGGAGAATGGCAACTAAAACCTGATTCTCCTCCCTCCACACGCACCTGTGCTCCCCTCTATCGGCTCAGCCACCACCCGCTTCTCCGCCTTTTCTCTGTGTCAGGAAGTTATGTGGCATCTGTAATTGCAGGTGCAGCTCTCAGCCGTCTGAAGCAGCCCCTAGAGAAACTCGCGGGACCAGGCGAGGGAAAAGCCGGGGGTCCCGGGAGTACGGTTCTGCTTGAAGTCTGACCATGGGGAAAACGTGGGCACAAAGAGGTTACAATTGTGCACCTGAAATGAAACACGATACACAAAACACTTAGAACAGTGCCTGGCACTCAGTACATCCTCGGTGTCATGATAAGTTACAGTTTTTATATCACTTCCATAGATTATTCAGCAAAATGACTAGAAACTCCCATCTCCAGAGACGAAAGCAAGGACAGCGATTTATTTGCTGGGCAAGGCTAACTGGTCACTCATGTCCAAGGGTGGGGTGGTCCGTCAGGAAGGGCTTGGCTACAAGGGGAGACCGGAGGCTTCTTGCCCTAGGTCTGGCCTCCCTGGTGTCTGGCTGGCTGCATCCCTCCCTGGCCCGGCTCAGCTGGGGACCTGGGGGCATTCAGGGTAAGTAGTGCAGAGGGAGGGGAGTTAGCAGAGAGTTCACTGAAAATGGAGCTGAGGATGCGGGGTGCAAGCTAGAGGTCAGCGAGAACACAGGGCGTGTGTCACAGAACTTTCCAGCTGCCTCAGACGCCATCATGGCTTCTTACAAGCACGAGGAGGGGACTTGGAGAACCACTAGAGCGGGGCTCTCAGCCCTGGCCACCTAGCCTCCCCTGGAAGCTTTACCACATGACAAGGCTCAGACCCCACCTACGACAAGTGGGGTCAGAATCTCCAGTGCCTATCACCCACTTCCTTGGGTCTTCCTGTTGGCAGTCCGTTTGCTCTCTCCCAGCATGAGTCAGTTAGGCGGGGCCTTCCAATGACAACCTGTGAGCTCTCACTGGCATCTCGCCTGCGCGGACTTCCCACAGTCAGGCTTAAGTCTCTGTCCTCTACGGAGCATCACTATGGCCCTAACAAGACCTCTGGGGGAAGTCTGTGCGCTGATGCACACGCCTCAGCTTGGAAGAGCCCGTCCCTCTCTCTCCAGGGCCTGCCCAGAGCACTGGCCTCTTAGCAGAAATTCAGTAAGCTGTCCCTTCTCCCATCCAGCTGGCTGCCTGCCGGCCACCTGGCCTTCTCTCCTCTCCGACAGATTTGTCTCCAGCAGATGCTCCACCTTCTAAGTTATGCCCAGTGGGACTGCAGATGAGACGTTCGGGGGTTGTGGAATAGGACAGGGCCTCCTCCGGTGTCGCTGGAGGTCCGAATCCATTTCTTGCTCAGTCCTTAGAAGGCAACTGGTGCTCTTAACCTTCGAGGGAGCGTCAGGCCAGTGCTCCTACGGGCTGTGAGAAGCAGGGGGTGTCCGTGTGATGTGCTGAGTGCTCAGGCCATGACTGCAGGAGAAGAGACAGAAGAGCCCTGGAGTGTCAGCACGAGGGGGGGATTTGGAGAACCACTAGAGCGGGGCTCTCAGCCTGGCCACCTAGCGTGCCCTGGAAGCTTTACCACATGACAAGGCTCAGACCACACCTACAACAAGTGGGGTCAGAATTTCCGGAGTGAGCCAGAGTTGTTCAAATGGTCCTCAGGTGAATCCAGGGGACAGCAGGGTTGAGAACCACTGCACCGGCCAGTTTCCTCTCTTGTAGGGGCACCTTCGGGCACAGGAAAGCAAGGTGACTTCCCCGAAGTCACAGGGATAGTTGGTGGCAGAGCTGGAGGAGACCCAGGGCTCCCGCCTCCTTGCCCTGCACCACACACGCTGCCTGCTGGGCTTCCTGGAGGCCGGAGGCCCTTTCTCCAGTCTTTCCCTCCTGTGCTTTCTCAGGAGACAGTGGTTGCTTGTTTCCTCTTGATATATCTGTGGCAGCACTGTTGGTGGAACTGTGTGACAAAGTAGAGCAGCCTGCCTTTCCTCTTATTTTAATGCCCCCCTGACATCGTAGAGCTTCTCCCCGGGGTTGGGCCCTGTGGACCTAGTCATTCTCTTCCTAATCCCCTCTCACCTTCTCAGCAGTAAGTGGCGAGGGCAGCACCTCCCAAGGGACAAAGATTTTGTAGTGGTGGTTTCAATTCCGGGTGCATCTTAGAACCACCTGGAGGAGACTCAAAATTACTGATGCCTCACACACCACCCCAGACCAATTAATTCAGAGCCTCCAAGGGCCTGGGCATCAGTATTTTTTAAGTTCCTTGGTAATTCTAATGGGCTGAGAGTCACTGCTTTAGGGGTTTGCCACCCCCCCAAGTGTCAGGCTTAGGAGGGACTTAAAGATCCATTGGTAGGGGCAATATGCAGTTATATAAAGAACTCCTACAATTCAACAACAAAAAAAACAATTAGATTTTAAAATGGACGAAGGACCTGAATACACATTTCTCCAAAGAAGGTATACAAATGGCCAATAAGCCCATGAAAAGATGGGCAACATCACTGATCATGAGGGAACTGCAGGTCAGTATGGCAATGAGAAACCACTTCATACCCATCAGGAAGGCTATTATTTTTTTTCACAAACCATAGAAAATAACAGGTGTTAGTGAGGCTGTAGAGAAATTGGAACCCTCGTGCCCTGCTGGTAGAAAAGTAAAATGGTGAATTGCTATGGAAAACAGCATGGGGTTCCTCAAAAAATTAAACATAGAATTACCATATGATCCAGCAATTCCACTGCTGGGTGTATACCCCAAAGAGTTGAAAGCAGGGACTCAGAGAGGTATTGTTTGTACACGCATGTTCATAGCAAAGGTAGAAGCAACCCAAGTGTCCAAGGGATGCATGGGTAAGCAAAATGTGGTATGTACATATAATGGAATACTATATAGTCTTAAAAAGGAAGGAAAATCTGACACATGCTACAACATGGATGAACTTTGAAGATACTATGCTAGGTGAAATAAGCCAGACACAAGAGGACAAATACTGTATGATTCCACTATGTGAGGTAACTACAGCAGTCAAATTCATAGAAAGTGGAATGGTGGTTGCCATGGGCTGGGGGAAGGGGAGGAATGTGGAGTTAGCGTTTAACGGGTACAGAGTTTCCGTTTTGCAAGACGAAAAAAGCTTTGGAGATGAATGACGGTGATGGTAATACAACATTGTGAATGTACTTAATGCCACTGAACTGTACCCTTAAAAATGTTTTTTTTTAAAAAAGCATTGGTCCTAGGTACTTCTGCCCCAGGTTCCAAAAAACGGTCTAGGTTCTTCTCCACCCAGCTCTACAGGGTACCTGTGTTCCTTTCCTTTTCCTGTACAGTTTTTGCCCTGGCTCCAGCTGAGCACCTGGAGAAGCTATAAGGAAACGCCTGTTTGCTTAGCCAAACTAAACCAGGGCCAGGCGAGCCCTGGGGCAGATGTCCTGGAGGAGAGGGGCGGTGCCCATGGTGACCCCGGCTTGTTGACAGGGAGTCCTGTCTTATGGGGTCTCCTGATGCCTTCTCCTGTCATCACCTAGATGGCCTTAGGAACAGCTTACCCAGGCCGGGGAAGGTGTGAAGGTACGGAGCAGTAGAGAACAATGGGCTCTGGAGGCATGTACCGCCAACAGCCTGAAGATGCTGGGCAAGTCTGTGATGCTGTGGACCTATATTAAGTGTGACGTCAACTCGTAAAAATACCTGACGTTGATGGAGTCTTACTA